ATAGCAATGGCCTCCAACCTCATAGCAATGGCCTCCAACCTCATAGCAATGGCCTCCAACCTAATAGCAATGGCCTCCAACCTCATAGCAATGGCCTCCAACCTCATAGCGATGGTCTCCAACCCAATAGCAATCGTTTACGGTTGTGCCATGCACCACGAAAGTGGTTTGAGAAACTCCAGTCCGTGCTTTGGAGTCAGAAGTGGCAATCTCATCAACTTGACCAGTGCGTCTTCTTGCTCATCGACCCGTCCTCTCAGGAAATTTGTGGGTACCTAGGCGCCCTTGTGGATGATTTGGTCGTGGCTGGGGCAGGGGACTATTTTGAGAAGCAGATCAGGCTGTTGAGGGAGTCTTTTCCATTTGGCAGCTGGGAAAGTGCACAAGAGAAGAGTGTCAAGTTTTGTGGTTGCGATATTTTCCAAACGGAAGACTTTGACACTTGGTTGAATCAAGAACCTTTTGCTCTTTCTATTGATGAGATTAATCTTGAGAGTTCTAGAAAAGAAATGAAACATGAGTTGGCAACCCCCAGTGAAAAATCAGAGATGAGGAGAGCTTTGGGAGCATTGAATTGGCGAGCAGTTCAAACAAGCCCGTGGTTGCTTTCAACAGTTTCTCACCTACAAGGATGTGTGGAGACAGCGGCTGTGCATTTTTTGATGGAGACTAATAAAGCCATTTGATGGCAGAGAAGACACAGCCATGTGAAGCTGCTTTTCCCCCATCAAGTGAAAGACAATTTGCTTGTGACTTTTTGTGATGCCGCTTGGGCGACCAGACGGGACGGGAGTTCTCAAGGAGGAGCTTTGACTGTTTTGATGAACAAAGACACTTTGAATGGCAAACTCAGCCATTTTTGTGTTTTGAGCTGGACAAGTCGAAGACTTAGACGCGTGGCCCGGTCCTCAACGAGTGCAGAGGTGCAAATGACTGGTAATGGTCTTGATGAACACGAGTTCATTAAATTGTTTGTGTACCTCATGAAGCATCCGGGACATGTAGATTTGAGAAGCCCTGATAGCATTTTAGCTTCTGAAGAGTCATGCATCTTAAGTGATGCTAAGAACGTGTACGATGCCTTAGAACGTGTCCAAACATGTGGCCTCCAAATGGAGGAACGACGGACTTCTATCGAAGTGTTAGGTATTCATGAGCGCCTTAATCAGGCCAATGTCAAGTGCAGATGGGTCTCCGGCGATCAGGAACTTGCAGATGGATTGACAAAACCATGGAAGGGAGAACAATTGATCCAGGCGATGACACAAACGACATGGAGGATAATGTTTGATCCTAACTTTGTTTCTGGACGAAAACGTAAACAAGTGAAGCAAATAGAGACGAAGTATGGTGATCGGGTTGAATTTGGTGTGTTCGCTGGATGATTCCGTCTTTGGTCAAGAAAATTTTTGGACCTGTGTGAATTTGATTCCATTGGTTGACCAAAGACCCTGATCCTCAATGTGTTCGGGGCTCAAGACGCGCCCTGTGTTCCATAGCATTCACTCCTGACTTGCTCTAGCCATAGCGTGTTATAAACCAGCGTGTGCTCTTGTGGTTTGCGAGAAAGGTGGACAGTTGTTTACAGTGGGCCTCCGCTACCATATTTATAGCCTCCAACCTCATAGCGATGGCCTCCAACCCAATAGCAATGGCCTCCAACCTCATAGCGATGGCCTCCAACCTAATAGCAATGGCTTCCAACCCAATAGCCATGGTCTCCTGCCTAATGGCAATAGCCTCCAACCTCACAGCGATGGCCTCCAACCCAATAGCAATGCCTCCAACCTCATAGCGATGGCCTCCAACCTAGTAGCAATGGCCTCCAACCTCATAGTGATGGCCTCCAACCTAATAGCAATGGGCTCCAACCTAATAGCCATGGTCTCCAACCTAATAGCAATGGCCTCCAACCTAATAGCGATGGCCTCCAACCTAATAGCAGTGGCCTCCAACCTCATAGGGATGGCCTCCAATTGGCCTCCAACCTAATAGCCATGGCCTCCAACCTAGTAGCATTGGTCTCCAATCTAATAGCAATGGCCTCCAACCCAATAGCGATGGTCTCCGACCCAATAGCTTTGGCCGCCAACCTAATAGCAATGGCCTCCAACCTAATAGCAATGGCCTTTAACCCAATAGCGATGATAGCAATGGCCTCCAACCTCATAGCGATGGCCTCCAACCTAATAGCAATGGCCTCCAACCTCATAGCGATGGCCTCCAACCTCATAGCTTTGGCCTCCAACCTAATAGCAATGGCCTCCAACCAAACAGCAATGGCCTCCAACCTCATAGCGATGGCCTCCAACCTAATAGCAATGGCCTCCAACCTCATAGCAATGGCCTCCAACCTAATAGCAATGGCCTCCATTCCAATAGCGATGGCCTCCATTCCAAGAGCGATGGCCTCCATTTCAAGAGCGATGGCCTCATTCCAAGAGCGATGGCCTCCCTATATACGTATGAGTCTCTAGGAGTACCACCGAAGGTTTCACATTCCGAACCATCAGGCTGTGCCTCTCACCTCTCAGGGGGGGAACTTGTTGGTTTTTCTTGGCTGCTTATCACTGCAACACCACTCCGGTATCGAAGGTCTGTCTTAGCTCTGAAGAGTTCCCTCCCAGAAGCACCCCCAAAAGTACACCACCCTCCGCTTGCCACCGAAGGCCTCGGAATGAGCTCGCCCGGTTCAGGGCCGGCGCTGGATTCCACACGCTTCCGGTGAACCGCCGACCCAAAGAGACGCGGGCGACGCGGGCGACGCGGGCGACGCGGGCCGCGGCGGGGACGAGTCGACTCGTCGGGTGGGAAGTCCGGGAGGAGAGACACCCGGCATCTAAAAGGAATTTCTGAGCCAAGGGGTTGAGACATTCTGACATTCTGACATGTCTTGGGGTGTGCTACGCTGAAACGGTTTCTTCTGAGATACTCGTAGATTTTTGGGAGTGCTCATGAGTGCTCATTGAACTGGTTTGCACACCCTTTGGCTTGTCCAATTTCATGCACCAAGCCTTTTGCCTTGCCTTGCCTCGCTTTACGCACATGCTAGTCTAGTACAATCTGAGGTCGAGTCGACTCGACCACTCTGAAATGCAGCATGAAAGAGCGAATCAGAAGAAGTTTCATCTCTTTTTAGTACTGTCACCATATACCTCCACTCCTCCCTTTCTGCCTCTCCAACTGGTCGAAAGTCGAGTGTTTCCAACCCCACTCCACTTCACAGTCCAGTGTTGTCCTGGTGACGTGGCGCGAGAGAGCGTCGCAGATCCTGCTCGAGAGTGCGCAGCACCGTGCGAAAGGGTCATCAGTCGCATCTGGATGCCGCTTTTTGAGCTGCTCGAGATGGAGAGGGCCCTGAAGCAACAGACGCTTGAGAACAGAGAAGCAACGAGTTCAGGCAGAAAGCTGAGCACTTCTTACCCCTCAACGAGGCCTCAATGACTCAACGGTCGAAACACCAAGAAACGCTTCAGAACCACGTAGCGCGCAGAAGAACAGGCACGAACTGCAACCAGTAACGTTGGTGTTGTACCCCGAAACACACGACCAGGGCAAGGGTGTGCGCAGGTATACGTAGCCGTGACCAGCCGCCCAGTAGAGACCAGGGTAGATGCAAAGAAAGGGGGTCCCTTGATGCGCAGGTCAGTTTTACAACCCAAACAGAGACAGAAGTGATCCACGGAACAGAAGTATCCAGAAGTAGTATTAGGCCTAAACCTATATATGCATGGAATAATTGAAGAGTAAGTATCCTATATTGGAATTCAAGAGTAATGAAGTATACAGTGTACATTGTTCCGTAAGCTGTCAGAGCACACATTGCGTAGCTATCTACAGCTGACATGGATCCTCAGGGGTATTGAATTGGGTGTTTGAGGTCGAAAAGCGGTCTGACCTGACTGCCGTTTCGGAGGGGCAGGTCTGCACAGACGCCACCGTGTCTCGCTCATGGCGCCGCCCAAGGCGCCGGACGACGCCGCGAGTCATGGGACGAACCCTCCCTTCCGGCAGTGGTGCGATGAAAATGCGTTGGGACCTGTGTTCTATGGGTTGGATATATATATATATACATTATATATACATAGAATGGACGAATTTTCAAAAAACAATTCACTCCTCAAAACCGGCCCTTCCAAACCCCATAGATAGAATATGGTTGTAGGGGCTTCTCTTCCTTTTCCTTTATTGTCTTTTTCCTTCTCTGTTCCTGCTATTTTCTGTTCGTTAAAAGAAAAGAACAAAGGAAAGGACAGCTTAGATAATACACATAGGAACAGAACATGAAAATAACAAAGGAGCAAATTCCGGAATGGGAGGAGTTGATAAGAATCTTATCACTAGATTCTATCTATAGGGTCAGTCTTCATACAATGAAAGGGATGTCAAAAACCCTGAGTTTTTTTCAAAAAGAAAACCACCCCCTACGAAAGTAGATTCTATCTACTCCAGGATGATTATGTATATGTATATATATATATTGTAGTGTTTCTTCGTTTTGGGGGGGGGTTAGATAGTTTTTGTCGATGTTTTTCCCGTGGTAGTGCGAGTTGAGTGGTATTCTCTTTGTTTTTTGGGTGTTGTGGTTGGGTGTTGGTTCTGGACATATGTCTAAGATCGTTTGGTTGTACTTTCTGTGGTAGGGTTGTGGTTGGGTGTTGGGTGGTGCATGTTGAGTTGGATGGTGGTCTGCTATGATGGTCTGAGTCTATTCATTGGGGCCATCGAACTTCTGTGCATTAGGGACACATGTGAACGCATGTGACACCTCTCCAGTCACTGCCGAGCAACTGGTCGCGGGGCGCGCGTCCGATGTGCTGGCTGTTGAGCTCAAAGATCTACGAGAGAACCAGCAATCAAGGCAGCAGAAACAACTCGAAATGCAATAAAAACTGGAACAATGGCGCAACAATCCTTGCACTTTGACCACGTGAACAAGACTTTAGTAATCGCACGTGTTTCAAAGACATGTTGTAGCACTCTTGTGTCCTGGTTCACAGACAATTCCATTATGGTGTGTTTTGGGGGTAGAGGTACTTTTGTTCATTTTCGGAAGATGGTCATGTCGTCCATGTGCGCGCGTTTTTCCCACGAGACTTTCTGTTGACGCGTTGCTGTCTCTTTCGTGTGTGTTTGTGTGGTGTCCCTCCATCAAAACCGGTCTCTAATTTCATTGTTTACATCTCTTACCTCGACAGTATTAGGGCATAGGGCATAGGGCATAGGACAAGGTCCTGTTCACTGGGGACTTCGACAGCATTCTTAATTCATTTGATTTCATTGGCGTTTGTATCCTCGAGATCCTGTGGACTTCACCTTTATGCTGCACCTTCTTTTGCCTGATCGTTGGCCTCTCACTTGCGACAGTTCTTGCTCCTGCCGCTTCGTTGCTACAAAGCTACCTTTGGAAAATGCTGCCTTCTGAATGTAGAGGGAGGGTCTAAGACCTTAGTATATCAATATTCTACTTCGCAGTCGTTCATCTCTCTTGCATCCTGTCAGATCTGTATTGCCTGTCTTGAGCGCTCGTCTCATGAAGGGGCTTCCATGTAAAAAAAGCAGCGACGCTGCTGACTCCGACCTGAACAATTACGTAGTTTAGATGTGCTTGAATCAACTTTCTTGATGTTTTTGTATAGTTCGTACTTGTCACAAGCAGTCGCCTCGTGTGTTCCTTGTTGCTGGAAGTGAAGCGGCGATGTGAAAGAGTGCAGAATTGCAGATGAGACTGAATGGTGCAGCGGCAAACGACACGTGCAAGCTATTATAGTGTGTCCCCATTGACATTGACTCCATTGTTTGGACACTTCAGTCACGAGTGTCCTCACTTGGCAATATAGCTACCATTTCACCACTGAAAGCCAGGGGAAGTTGACCAGGTCACACCTCTAGACCCTCCGAAGTCTTTTCCATTTGACTCACCGGTCGGCGCTGCTTCGAAATGGACCGTGGAAGTCCGCAGTGCATTGTGGAGAAGCATCTGGGCGGACCTGGAACTCAAGCTTGGGTTCGTATTTGGAATGACCACCTATTTGTACACACATACCATCCTAATCCTATACCATTTTGCCCAGTATATATAGTCGTATCATCGAATCTGGACCCACTGCGGATGTTAAGCTCCGCCAGATACCAACACTTTGATCAAGATGGGTGCCCACTGAGATTTGCTGAGTCACGTTCGTTTCGGCATTTTCGTTAAGGAAAACCATGGAACACTTCCTCCCATTCGATCGGGATGGGAAGGTCGACTCAGGTCGGCTTTTCTCACCCCGACGCGTGCGCGGGAAGGGGGGAGCTGGACCGAAGTCGTGGCGGTGTGGCCTTCGTGGACCCCGGAAGCCTTCCGTTTCTTCGTGGGACTCCAACCAGGTGCAGGATGCGTACGCAGCGACGGCTGGGAGAAGCTTCGAATGATCCAGAATCTGGGCCGAGCCTGGTGGAGTGTTCCACGAAATCGCACCAGGTTTAAAAGAGCATCAACTGCGCTTTCTGGGGTTCCCGCTTATACGCCCCGTCCCCTCCGACGCACGTCACCGCCGTAGATCCGTAGATCGTCGTCGATGCGTCGCCTCGTCCGAGCTCCCCAGGTGACGTGGTGGCGGCTCCGATGGCACGACGCCCACGGGTGGAGGAAGTGTGTTTGCAGGAGATGGGTCGAGCGGGAGACGTTTCGTTTCGTCGAGTGGACCTCTCGGCATTTTTCTGGGCGTTTCATGCCACGAAACAAGGAAAGACCCCAGACCCCAGATCCCAGACAATGTTCCAGACAGTTATATAAGGTTATGTCTTATAAGTCCTTCTCTTTTTTTTGGGGGGGCATTTGCTGGGAACCACCACGCCTTTAAATGTCATGGCAGGGGTTTCACTTTCCAAAGCGAAGCATCCCCATGGGTAGAGCTTCAATTGAAATGCCACTTCCCGTTTGGTGTTTTCCAGCCACTTTGGAACTTCGCAGAAAGGAAGAGTGGAAACTGCAGAGGCCTTGCCCTTCCACTCTGTTTTGTTTCTCCACTCTACCGACTTATGCTTGGACGACTGGAAGTCCACTGCAAGTGCCTTCCGATCTGTTCGATACTCCAACTTTGATCCCTTTAAATCATAATTCATCCGAAAAAGACAAAAAAGCGAACCCATTTTGGCAGAAAACCCTTGCACCGCTCCATCCCTTTTTGCCCCCACCCTTCGGAGGACCTCCCCAAGCTCCAACCACGGGCATCGCGGGAAGCCGCGGCCGACGCGGATGCCGGCTCTTCACCTTTGCGGCACGGTGACGGGGCGTGGCGGCGCTCGCTGAAGGGCTTTCACGAGCGCTTCGTGGCCCAGGTGAAGCTCAGCCTTCGAGGAGGGCGCTCGTTCGGTGCACTGGGAGCGCCCGCGTTCGGACGAGTAGAGTACGTACGAAGCACGCGTTCGGATCGTTCGAATCTGCGCGCGAACGAGGGGAGTTGGGGTCCAGCGGGGAAGTTCGGAGAAGGCGGATGGACATGGACCGTTCTACATTGCTTCGGTTCAGAAGAGGTGTGAAGGTTTTATTTTGGATGTTTTTTTGGGGGGGGAAGGGGTGGAAGCGAAAGGGTAGGAGGAAGGGCTTACTTGCCTTTATGGGTTTTTGCCCCTGGTCGAGGGATTTTTGCAATATGTTTTGGTTTTTGGACAGCTGAGAGGTCTTGGCGCATTCGCTGGGAAACAGGGGGAGCCTTAGGGCGCAAGTTCTCTTGATGTGTTCTTCATCCTTTGGGCGCCTTTTGCCGTGTGGCTGGGGCATGCTGGGACCCGTGTGGATGTCAGGATGGATTCAGATATGTCTCCAAGCGATTTTTGAAAGGATCTCTGAATGCCTTGCCTCCGCTCTTTGTTCTCTTTGGGCATCAAAAGATGCGGAAAAAAACACGCTTTTGGACATGGTCACCATGTCGCACACCGTCCTGTCACCATGTCGTCCCTACTTCGGTGAACCGGGATTCCGGTGGACACCGCGGTGGACGCCGGGTGCATCGGCCCAGGGCCTCCGGGACGGACTGCAGGAGCGGTTGAGGGGATCGCACCTGTCGTGGTGTCCCAAGCGGCCAAGACGAGCTGAGACAGCAGCGATCCAATGACCACGGGTGACTTGGTCGAGGGTGGGGAGTGGCACGTCATAGATGGAGCATGATCGCAGCCGAAAACGATGGGATGGTGGGATAGTGTCGGACATGCAGATGAAAGACACACGCAAGGTAGGTAGATGAGATGGTTGCTATCAAAATGCGAGAGCAACATGCCTCCTGCAGCAGATTTGAAGCTGATTGACCGACCAATCGACGGCTCTTGTGGAGAGAAACCATGGAGAAAACCCATCATGTGCACAAAATAGAGCACACTTCCAGTCAGACCTCATTGCTTTCCCTAGGGATCCAAGTACCTCCTCAGAAGGTATTTGGAATTGTTTGGACCCTCGTGGCACCCACCCCGCAGTCCCACCTTCGAAACGAAGGTACTTGGAGCCCTAGGGTTTCTTAGACTCACCACCATCGAGGCGCCACCCTTTGGGACGCTGCGTTGCTGCTCAGCGCCTACCTCTGTACGTCAACGCGCCCGCGCCTACGTGGCTCGCACGTCTTGGAGCTGGGCAGTGGCTGCGGTCTGGTGGGCTTGGTGGCAAAGCGCTTGGGAGCCGAGGTCGGCATTTTGGGGGGTTTGGGGGAGGTGAGAAATGCGGAGACATGTCGCATTCCCAGACACGACCACCATGTGGGACTGCCATCTGGGACTGCCGAGAAAAAGGCTATATAGTTGGTGGTGGTGGTGGTGCCAGGTAATTCAATGAGGCGGCAGTCCTATGGCAGTCCCAGACAGGTCGTGTCTGGGTATGCTTTTAATTGGGTGAACCAAATATGTGCGAAGTCGAAGAGAGGATGTGGCGAAGTCGACCTGCGAAGTCGATGGAGACAGGCACTGAAACACCGGTCTCTCGACCGGTGTATCAAGGCCCCACTGCCAGACTTCATCCTTGGACTTCATATTGGGCTTCCTGTTGGACTATGTTGGACTTGCTGTTAGACATCCTGAAACCTGCTTTCCTGGCAATGAAGGGTCCAAAACCATCCAAGGGTCCAAAAAAAATTAGGTCATGGAGTGATTGTATGACAACAAATTGATTGGGCTGGAGCACAAAGGGTAGGTTAGATTAGATTAGGGAACTTGCGATTTTGTGTTAGTTTGTGATCTGAAAAATCCATCGGAGCTTCACTCAGATCGCCCCAGATTTGGGCAAACACACCCCTTACTTGCCCTGCTAAAGCAACCAGGCATCTGCTGGACTGCTGGGTTCTCAGCCTTGACTTTTCTACGCCTAATCTTTCTTCATGAATCAAGCTGCTTAAGAGCTTTATGTCCGGAAGTCAGAGTTTTAGAGGCACATAAAGTCTGGCACAAGTTGCAAATCTCACCAAGGAAGCTTCAGACATAATGCAGCAAATGACAATCGAATTCCAGAGCACCACCCAATACCATTGAAGCTAGCAAACATTTTGCGAAAGATCCTGGATGCAGCCGGGCCATGTTGCGAAAGATCCTGGGTGCAGCCAGGTGAATTTGCGACAAATGCTGGCAACATTTGTCTCAAAACCATGTCCCTCACCAGGGATGGCCCGGCTGCATCCAGGATCTTTCGCGCAATTATTGCTAGCTTCAATAGTATTGGGTGGGCTCCGCCTTCGCCTTTGTCTTGTTTTGGGAGTGTCCTGCAAAGTAGACTGCTGTTGTTGTCCTTTGCTTGGCGTTGTGTTTGTGCCGGGTGACGTCCGTCCCAACGACGATGCGGTGCCTCGGACACCCCCAGACATGCTTTCAGGTGAGTCTCCTGCCTTTCCTACGTGTCTCCTCGGTTATGTTTCCCTTTTTGGTCAGGCACTACCGCACGCGAGCGGTCTCGCAGTCCTTACCTCGAAAGAAAGAAGGTTCGTGTACTGTCTTCCTGTTTTGCACGCTTTTCGTCTACCTTTGAGGTCCTCGCACAAACGTTTTGCACGTGCGGCAGCTCCCGGTTGAGATCGCTGCCGAACAATTGTCCGAGGACTTCAGCGTGATTGGCCCGGTGACTTCTGCAGAGGCGCGATCGTCGGTTTCTCCTTTTTCTAGTTCTTGTGTTCGTCGCGTCCTTTGATGCAGGTACTGACGCGAGGACCGGCATACGCCGTGGCCACTGTCCGGTACGCGTCTGGGCGAGACGCCCAAAACGCAATACTACGGTGGAACGGCACCCGATACCGTGGCCACTACGTGACCATTCAGTGGTCACGCAGAGGGTGAGGAAGCTGTTCTATAACCTAGATTTTTCGGATGTTACGACACCATCAGGCTTTCTGTGTCAGTGGTCCCTCTAGACACACTGTGTCCACGGTTTTTGAACAACAGTTGTCAAAGTGAGCTTCATGGCCAAAAATGCGCCTGTTTTTATCACACCTGGTCCATGTGTGCTTCCATCGGTGGTTCACTGTTTCACCCGGTTTTTTTGGTGCATTGAGACAGAAGGTGTTGCGGTTGTGAAGATATGCAGGTGTGAGGATGTACATATTGGATATGTACGGTGTGAAAATATGCAAGTGTAAAGATCTGCAAGAGAGAAAGAGAGAGCGAGAGAGAGTTGTAGGTTCCTCTCAAGTTTGTCAGGGTAACCGCGTGTGCCCTTCGGCGCCGAGGTCTCCGAGTGGCGGCACTTTAGCCGCCTCGCCCCAAGGCGAGGGCGCGAGGCCACCACCGTGCCTCGGCCGTGCTGATGTAATGGTCGGAAGTTCGACTCGAGCGATTCATACCCCCGAATCACACCTCGAATCATACCACCGAATCATACCCCTCAAAAAGTATGTCTAAGAACCAGGGTCTTAGGTGAAGCTTTGGCTGGTTTTTGTGCCTTGTAGATGTCCGTGAACCAATGGTGCAAAAAGCATGGTGAGAACACGCCTCAGTTTTTTTCAGAATTTAGTGACCGTACCGAATCACACCCGATCCATCCCCGTTTCATACCCGAATCACGCACCCTGCACCCATCCCACATCCCTGATTGTTCCCACCACTGCAATCGAAAGGGTCGTGCCTTTGGCGGGGTTTGGAGTCTTTGGTAGAAGAGTTCCTTGCCTGGTCTGCCCAGCAACCGCCAGATACTGCTTGCCTACTGCCTCACAGTGCAGATGTGGGCCCACTGCTGGAAGTCTAGCCAGTCCAACATTGCAATTTCAAAGCTGCGAATCATACCCTCGAATCATACCACCTGTTCAAACTTCCCGGCCCGACTACGGAATAAAAATACACACCCAAATGCCGTCTCCACGCGACGAAGGCCACGCGGACGAGAATATGTCGTGCCCAGATGACAACGGCCACGCGCACGAGACTACGTCGTGTCCAAACAACAAAGTGCATTTGCGCAAAAACTGTTTTACACACACCGGTCGATAGGTGTGCAGCTCTGATGATGTGCATGTTTGGAAATGTGCAGGTGTAAGTTGTGGTGATTTGTGATGCATTTGTCGTTAAAAAAACCATTCGCTCACGTGCTCTCAGGAAAATAAACTTTCCAGTTTGCCCCCTGAACCGCAAAAACTTTGAGTTCCTGTTTTCAACCACTTTGAACCTCAACCTACGGGCATTTACATCATCCAGTCCCTTGATTTTATTGTGAATGAAATGCGTGTGGCCATGCGTTCAGAAACGGATGTCGTTGCAACTGCATAGCGAGGCGTGACACTTGGATTTGTTTAGTTGTTGTCAATACGTCACTGCTTTGTGTTCACACTTCATGGCGGGAAGGCAAATCACCTGGTCCGTGCAAGCAGGACGTTGATGGCTCAAGCAAGGAGATTGCTTTAAAAGAAAGAACACAAGACTTATATGGAAGGCAGGACAACTCCTGATACACCCCCATTTCGAAGCAAAACAAAAAGACATGAACACAGTCACACCCATGTGACATGCAGCATGCACGTCTAAACTGTTCACCAAACCACCGTCACAGTTCTGCCCTCTCTCGGCACCCGCTTTCACACCTCGCCGCGGCGGAGGTTCGCCTGTGGGGTGTCGTGGCATTGTGGTTATCATCTCACACCGTTCATTGCATGAAAACTCCAAATCTTCGCACTGGGAACGGCCAGGGTACTTCTTGGGAACGACCCACTCTTCAAATCCTGTTTTTGGTATATAGGCTATATAGGTCTTTCTTCACCAATCTTAAACGCCGTTGCCTTGAGGTGAGGCATTGAAACAGTTTGTATAATCCACCGTCTCCAGCGGCTCGCTCCCCCAGGCTTGCTCGCCTGCTCCGCAAAGTAGCGCTCATCTTTGGCCCACCGCCTCAGTCCGAGCGGTGTGAGACGAAGAGGACAGCGAAGACCGGATTCACAGGCACGATCTCCGTCACACACGATACAAAGTACTGGCATTTTGAGGTGTTGCATTGGCTTCAAAAATGACTTTTCGATATACGACCTCCTACCCACACTGCTTCGCTGCGAAGTGAGAACTGCAAATCGATTGAAAGAAGGTTGGCTTCAACGGACCCAACTCAAAGGGGAGCAAACAAAGGCTTGGCAAAATGACTTGAGTTCCCAAAATGCAAGTGATGCAGGTCACCCTGGTGGCATCAGGAGCATCGCGAGTTTATGTGTTTGATGCTATTCCGTTTTTTTGAGGTTAAAGTCGTTTAACGAGAGTCGGGCAGCAACAAAAAGGAACGACCGCTTCATTGCAGCTGCAACGCGTGGATTCTCTGCGCAGCTGCTGCGTCTCCTCGAAGTTGCTGCGCGCCTTCACTTGCCCATGGACCTCAGGAAGCAGCAGGCTGATCGAAGTGAGCATTTCATTCCCGGGAGACAGGCGAGCGCGGCGGATGGGAAACTTCGAAAACTTTGAAGATCTGAACTCCCATGCACTTCTCGGCTTTAATCCCCCCCAATGCAGCAAGAATATAGACTTTGCTTTATGGGGCGGTTTCAAGAGAGGGATTAAAGAGTGCCGAGTGTCAAGCAAGAGTGTCTAGCAAAGAGTGTCAAGAAAGAGCGTCTAGCGAGAGTGTCTAGCAAAATGTCTAGCAAAGAGTGTCAGGAAAGAGTGTCTAGCAGAATGTCATTTCAAGAGTGTCCAGCAAGAGTGTCTAGCAGAGTGTCCTGCCCAGCAAGAGTGTCCAGCAAGAGTGTCTAGCAAAGAGTGTCCAGCAAGAGTGTCTAGCAAAGAGTGTCAAGAGAGAGTATCAAGCAAGAGTGTCCAGCAAGAGTGTCAAGAGAAAGTGTCAAGAAAGATAGCAAAGAGTGTCAAGAAAGAGTGTCAAGAGTGTCGTGTCAAGAGAGATTGTCTAGCAAGAGTGTGAAGCAAGAGTGTCCAGCAAGAGTGTCAAGCAAGAGTGTCCAAGAAAGATTGTCTAGCAAAGAGTGTCTAACTCCATGACCCAATATCTTTTTGGACCCTTGGATGGTTTTGGACCCTTCATTGCAAGGAAAATATATGTTGGAAAAGTGTTCATATTGAACTTCATCTTCGTATTGAACTTCTTTAGATCGACACCCGGACACCCAACCCAACCCACCCACTTCGCAGAAAAGCCCGAACGCCGCGCTCGGCGGCCGAAGCCCGAACGCGGCCGAAGCCCGGTTGCGAAGACGCCCGGTTCGCTTCGCGACCAGGTGACGCTCACCGACCTCCCAAGCTTGCTGCCCTTGCTGGAGGCGCATGCTTCGGCTACACCATTCGCCCTCGGCCGGCGATCGCAGTGTGTGGAGCAGGGATCAGACTGGCGATGGTTGGGGCGAACATGGAGCTTTTCGCACGAACGTCCACGTGGTTCATGGGTTGAATTGATTTAGAACTGCACCGCAGTGTGTGTTTTTTCGCTGCAGCACTTTTGAAGTGCGAAAGTGTGGATTGGATGGAGAGTCGACATATGTCTGCAAAACCTATTATGTAGCGGTCCCCAAATAGATGACCGTGGCACGGTTTCCAATACATTTTTTTGGTGGGGATCTACGAGTTTCTATCTATATTCGGGTCATTTCGGGTCTATTTCCATGCATTTGCGGAGATGAGTTGTACCACAAGTACTAAATCGAGAGGCTTAAACGGCAACAGTCAGTACACAATGCTGTTCTATAGTGCTGAACAAGGCCTTTAGTAGTTGCGACCGAACCCGAGTAGATCGTGATTGTGGGCGGTCGCCGTTCTTCGGCCGTGCTAGGCCAATGCGAACTGCAACGGCGCCGACGTGGACATTCGGCCGCTCTTGTGGCAAGAGGCGGGAGGGAGGGCATGTATGTCCGTAGTTGGCTTCCGGGCCAGGGTCTCATTTATGATGTATACCTGGAGTCGACCCGGTGTCGTACCTCGGAAGATGGGTACAAGTAGCTGGTTTTATGGGGTCATGTCCCATTTTCAAAGGTACTTTGGAGGGCCCAGGTAGTGAATTTTGGATAGGATCTTGATGATCTAGTCGTTTTTTGAAGTATGAGGTCCAACTATTCGACAAGGACCTTCAGAATGGAGGCTTTTGAGATCCCAAGTTGATCCCAAGACTCTTGGTTCCGTTTGGAAGCAAGGCAGACGTTTCTGCCATGTTCACATCGAAACCATCTGATGCTCATCCCAGGTCTGGGGTCTCCCCCCACCCCAACGGCCTCTCAACCGACACCGTCTCAAACCGCTCCGCGCGCGTTCAACCCACGCCCCACGTGGAGGCTGCCCAGATGCGGTGGATTCAAAACCACCGCTTCGACCTGGTCCTGACGCCTCGAGTGGGACAAACGCGAAGATCGGATGGAACGTCGAGTTCCAAAACGGAAACGGGATGGACGTTCAAAGGGGAAGAGGGATTGGAACATCACTGGGTTTTAGGAATGACTTGGTTTTTGTCTTCCCTTTGAAAAAGGACAATTCTCCTCATGAAGAATTTCCGTGATTTTTTCTCACCGAACGCTAGGGGCGTTACGTGGGTGGTTATATATTGATGTTATTTGTCATGATTAGGTCTATAGTTTCTATAAAAGCTGAGATGTATCATGGAGGACCACAACACGCAGGGCTCCGCATGTGTTGACTTCCTTCACGTCGCAGCTAGACGAGTTGTGAAGTGGAAGGGGAATGGGCAGCCCTGGGCAGATGTAGACGGACATAAGCCGATGCATCTGGATATTTTTTTGGATGTGACCCTTCTGCCAAAGTGCATGATGTGGGTTTCATTTGACAGCTTTTACCGCAAATCCACCTCGAGCCGTGGCAAGCTTTGATGAGTTGAGCTATTGATGAGTACACTCAGTCTATCTACTGATTGTTGGCTTTCAGTCCATGTTTACTGCCCATCGTACATTTCGCATCACAGGGTGCTGAGGCATGATGAGGTGATGTATGTGACAAGTCGCTCATGTGAAGTAGCAAACTTCTAAGTGCGAAGCTCCAGCCATAAGACATGCTTCCCCATAAATGCCTAGTGCCCAACGACCTGACACTGTCGACTACTGAGGGAGGAATAGGATTGATAGGATTGGCCATTGGTTGCGCTGTCCTTTTCCTCGGTTTTTCTTTACTTCTTCTCTTTGCTGCTAGTGAAAGCAGCCTTGTTTGAAGCCGGGAGGTCAAAAGGAGCCAGGGAAGGTCATGATGAGAAGGAGCAGGGCTATGACGGGCTTCACTACTCATGACACGAAAAAGTCTCCAATAATGACGTCTCTAGAGACAGGTGCGGTGGAAGAGGTGGCCAAGTAGCTTCTTGTTACTCGGTGGAAGAGATGGCCACCTACTCCTGGTGGGTGCTTTTTCTTGGCCAATTTGTGCAATGAAACCCACCGCGTTAAGCAACGAGGATGTCGGACCTCCTCTACCACGAGGAGCAGTTCGACCCGCTTTGGACCGTTCTGCAGGTGCTGACAGCGCAAGCCAAGCTGAAGCGGAGACGTGGCTCGGTTGGAGCGACAGTAAGTCTATAACCCAGACACTCCATGACATGGAGTAGGTTCTCAATTTGTGAACATGCAGCGTAAGATTTGCCTGCGTCTTCGGTCTTCTTCAACATCCGTGGCGCGTAAGCTCACATTGTGGTCGCGTATGAAAAGCGTAAGGAGCGGAAGACAGTTACGACATAGGGGTTTACTCATACGTCTTTTGCAGAGCTCATGGGACTGCCGTGCGTCGGACTGCCGCCCTATAGACGGACGGACCCCCCAGTCAACCACCACCACCCCCACGCCCTTTTCTCGGCAGTCCGACGTGGCAGTCCGGCGGTCCGTGTCTGGGTAAGGAGACGACGAGCCAGACGTCTCACAGGTCGAAGACGATGTGACGATGGACAGGTGATCGGCCCAGACTAGTAACTCAGGAACCAGGGGGGTTGAAGGTTCGGTCGAACTGGATGTTGAGCTGGAACCCACGGAGCAGTTCTCAGACTCGATGTTCCTGGTTGGCACTGGATGTTTTGGGGTTCACCTCGGAGGCAGGCAGGGCATTGCATCAGACCACTCTGCGAAGCGTTTCGCGTACGGGGCGCACTCGAAGCAACTGGGTGTGTCCAGCATGAAATAGCCGACCAAGTGCTGCCTGTGTTCCCAGCTCCATGAGACTGTGAGTCCTCCAGATCCTCCAGGCCCCTCGACGCAGTTACCAACACGCCACCCCTCTTTCCGTGGCTTCCACGATGCGTCGCGGCGTGGTGACGTTCGTGAGGCTTGAAATTCCTTTGGTTCCAAGAACTTCACCAACCGGAACTTTGTGAACGCTTCCACCGTCAGCTGCCTGGCCCCTTGAGCGACCCAACATCTTGCGAGCGAGCGAACAAGCGAGCTTTCTGCAGCCAAGCGAAGACATGATAAGATTCACTTCTGAAACAATGCTTCATTAATATACACTCTTCCTGACAGGTGATTGAACGTCCCAAGGCACGTCTATAATCCTGAATCGATCAAATCCTCTTGACCTCCCCACACGCGCGTGTTTCATATCTTTGCCCTCTATGGCCCTATATGTTCCACACAAACGCCCGACCTCGTAGACGTCTTCCTCGAATCTGTCTCAACCAAGGTTGCGCCAGAGGGCTTGGCGCATCCAACGCCTTGCATCGGTGGCCGATGACCTTGGCCAACCCTTGGTCCTCTGGCGCCTGCGCCCGCCGTTCCGCGCCCTTCGCCGCGCGGGAACCGCGCGCGGGGCGTTCGGGCGGCGGCGCTGGAAGCGGCGGATGTGTGGATTCCGGAGCCCGAAAAGGGACGCGTTCGGCCGGCGGAGGCAGCGAGTTGGTGACGCTACAGAGGACCGATTCTACACACTGATCGATCGTCTAGTGAATAGTGACACATCTTAACTGCGCCGGTCTGAGTCACACCTCCCCAGATCCTCCAGATCCTCAAGATCGATCCTCAATGCGCTGGCACATACTCTCCTCACCGTCAGCAGGCTCCGGCCACGACGGAGCGGATCTTGGAGCTCTTGAAAGGCCGGAAGGAACGGGCAACCACCGGCGCCCGGTCCCGGGTGTCTTTGGCCGGCTTTTGTGGCGGAAGGCCGCGGTTTTTTCCATGTGGTGAACTTGGTGAACGCGCGAAATTGTAGAGTTTGGATTCTATGATGAGTTCAGTTCTGAAGATTTTGAACCCCCCATATTAAGGAAGAGGTTTGACAATCCATATATTAATGTAAGAGGTTTGACAATCCATGTCTGAGGGGGGGTTTACATGGTTTTACTAAGCGCCTACATTGTGGAAGCCAACATGTATGATATCCATTTACGGTATAGATCTTTTGCAGCAAAAAGACCACACTCCACCAATTGAAATCGAGGTGAACAATGTGTGGCACGCCTTCATTTCAACAAACAACACGTAATTATAGTATATACCCAGCAACGCCTGCGGGCTGGTGTCGCAGCGGAGGGTTTGGGGCCCGGCAAACGACGCCATCTATTTCGACACCAAAACAGGGGCGAGCCGCAGCCAGCCAAAATGTTTAACGTCGCCTGGCACGTTGCCTTCGGGAGCTCATAAAACAGTTGCCTGGCACGTGCCAGAGGCTCACTGCCAAGGCTCCCTCGCCACAGCTTTCCACCATCTAGTTCCACACCAAAAACGGGCGAGCCGCAGCCACCCAAATCCCTAACATCGCCTGGCACGATGCCGGGCGCGTCTCTTTCGATGCCTAGTTGCCTGTCCCAGTTGCCCGGCAGCTGAGATGCGCCACTCTGGATCTGCTTGGCAGAACAAGGCCGCGGCGCCACGACGAAACGCCATGGATCTGCTTGGCCTGGGCAACTGTTTCACCCTGCTGTGTCCCGGCGCCGCCCCGCCTAGGCGTCAGCTAGGCAGGGGTCGGCGGATTACAATTCTGATCTCTCTTGCATATGCTGGGCTGAATATTTTTTACAATGGCTCACAAACTTCACTATATAAACCTAGCTACTGTCCAGGCGAATGCGTTTTCTGTTTTTTTCTCGGACATATTATGCCTTGGCCTTCCCTCAGCAGTGTGGATTGAGGCTCTGCTTTGCTGCGGCTGTGATCAACTTCAACTTGCCTTCTCCAGTTTTCCTGTTTGTTTTGTTCCATCATTGTGCCTTTTTTAAGCATCTTTTCAGGAATTGCTTCTTGTATTATAGGTCTTGTCACCGTTTCGCCTGGAAACAACCTGAAACAACCATTGTTCCTCAAATGTTGTGACGTGGAGGCTCTAGGTGTCATGCACTCTAAAATACACGAAGAAATGGACTCTCTCGTGGCGGAAACCGCCCGGCTGAACTACCCGCGACCATGCGACCCGAAACGCCACGAAACGCCACGTTTCACGTGCGCCGCTGCTTCCACCGCCTTCCCGCCTGCTCTCCAGGCGAAGGCCTCGCGGGACGCCAGTGCGCTGAGACGACACTGGACCGGGAAGACTCGGTCGCCGTACGTCGGCAGAGTTGGCATCGTGGTCGGGCTGAGGTGGTGAGGTGCATTGGTGACTGGGCCGTCCTGGTTGCCGTAAGCGAGACCACTCTTGGTTGGTTGATCTATAGAGGGAAGACCCCGAGGATAGGGTCGTGTACTACCAATAGGCCATATTTTACCGAATTGAGCCCTGTGTTTGAAGATCTCATGAGGTATCAATGATCAATTCAAAACAATCACTGGAAGAGCAAGGCCTGGAAGTTTCGTCCACCTTTAAAGGTCTCTTTCGGGTTCACCGTCGCTTCAGGAGTATCGAGGCCAATGGCAGCCCAAGCCCAATGGCGCAGAAACAGGTGACACCGTCCGCTTCGGGTGCTTCGGGTTCTTGCGCCCCTTCGTGCCGGGTCCAACAGGAAGATGAATAGCGAATCCGAACATGGACGAGGGGACGAGGTGTTTGTTTCTCCAAGAAGAACCGGAACTTGATTGAGTTTCGTCTTCAGAACGCTCAATCCAGGTTTTGGATGATCACCATGTTACGTCTTGACGAAACTGCCAAACAAGTTCCAGATTCTTGCAGGGGGGAAGGCTGGTTTTGTTGGGGGGGTCAGGGACGAACGAGCGCGAAGGATCAAGGAACGGTCAAGCTTACATGGTGTGAGTGGGGGGATCTGACAGATCTTGGTGGTCAAATCCAAGTCCAAGTCTTGTTTGGGTGTGTGATCAAATCCTCTCATGTTTCTTCAAATCCAAGTGTCCCATGTCCCAAATCATGCAAAGACTGTTTTTCCAGCTGCTTCAAAGTGACCTTTCGATGGTTCCTAATGAAGTGTATCTTGGGAGGCTGACCCAAACTACCTGGGAGCTCAGTTTTAGGTCACTTTGACGAACCAGGTTTGAAGTGAACTGTTGGAGGTCAAACCGCCTGTTTTGACTTGGAACGTAGACCACGTAGACCTCCCAGCTTCCAGCCATGGATCGCTTTAGGCTTGGTCCTTGTTTTCAGCTGCCTTTTTCTTGGCATCTCCAGGTCATGGCGTGGTGCCCCAGGACGGCACGGGAACAAACATCGCGAACGAAAACGACAAGACCGCAGCGTTCAAAACGACTCGACTGAAAAGAGGTGGGGGTGACATGGGGTGACGGCGACCACTCGTCAGAGGCGGATTCCAAGAAGAGCCCCTAGCTATAAATCCAGTCACCTTCTCAGGTACGGTGATTGGAGACCCTAGGTTCTGTAGGTGCATGTAGGTGCCAAGAAGGTCGGGTCCTCGTCCCGAACCTGGATCCCGGAGTGCAGAACTCGTTTCTGCGTCCGATCGGACGCGATGAGTTCCAACCCATGAGTTCCTGAGTTTCGATGGGAGGCCAGAGCCCTGCCACCTCACAATGCAGCCGAGCCCTTCGAATCAGACTGGCCGCCAGTTTCTGGCAGTTTCCAAGACCGAAGAAAGTGGGATTCGACCAAGCCGGAAAAGCTTCCAACATTCCAAAAAACACATCATGGCAGCATGGGCCCTGAACTTTCACTGGGTGCTGAACTCACCACGGTAGTCAGACTACACGAGAAGACTCATCTCGCATCTGGACACGGCTTAAGCGGCTTAAGCGCCTTAAGCGCGCTCGCGCCACCTCCGCTCGCGCCACCGGAGGACTGGGCACTGGACGTGGCTTCGGAGAACGACCGGCAGTTGGCCAGCTACGGTCCCTCGGTCATGGACCAGCGGGGGGGGGGGCGGTACCTGGCCGCGGTAGAAAAAGGCCACCGGTTGGTGTGTGGGTGCCCAATTTTTGGAACAGCGCGCAGAGGCTTCAGAGTGAACGGGTGACGAATGGGTTCGTCATTTTGTTGCTTTCTCCGCTTCAACTCGCCCTGCACACAACAACGAATGACCATGCTTTTTCCCCGACGCTTCCGCATCCAACCACCTTCCCTCCACGTTTCGTCTTCCGCTCCAACCTCTCCAAGACGTTTTAGGATGTTTTAGAACTTGGATTTGCCAGTAGAATAACATCCAAATGTATCCAACCATGATATATAAGATACATCAATTATAGAAGCCCTTTTTCCGGTCTTAGAGTCACTCATGGCACCAGCGGCACCACACGCGCCAAAAAGCAGAACGACCCCAGAACCACAAGCACTGTGCTTGTGAACATGGGGTGTTGCTTCGAGGAAGCAAACCTCACCTAAACAGCTATAACATGTTCCGCATCAAGAGAGGGTCTCAGGGTGGAGGCCAGGAGCCCCTATTAATAGCGTCCTTGCTCCCTTCGTAGCGATGCCCTTTAAGTTACTAGTCGCGTCCCTTGTTCCTAGTGTGGTAGTGATAGTGGCCCAGTAGTGGACCCCTCGGCACCTGTGCACTCCCTCGGCACCGTGGGGCGTGGCACTTCGGCGTGTCGCTTGCGAGATGCCTGGAGGTTGGGCGGGAGGCGCTCAATTGTGTCTCAGCAATGCCTTTGGCGAAGCCCAGCGCATCGAAGCCCAAGCGCAGGACGTGTTCGTTTTTGGTTGATTTTTCAAGATCTAATTACCTGCATCTTCCCAACGATGTGAAAACTCTATCCGTTGGCTGGTTCAATTTCAATAAAGATGTGTTCTTTTTTTTTTCATGTGTTCTTTTCTTCTCCGCCTGGGCGGTGAACATTCCATGCAGCGAGCACGGATGAAGATCTCTCCTACATGGTCCTGGTTTGGGTCCCTGGGCTGGAGGATTTGTTGAACGCCAAGACCGGGATGAAGATCATTTTGAGGGCGAAGACGATGAGAACAGTTAAGTCAGCTTTTGGAGCTTCAAGTGATTCAGATCAGACAGATTCCAAAGGGCTGAAGACTGGAAGGATATTGTCAGAC